AAGCTTTAATACTTGACAAAATTAATAGGAAAGTTTCCAGGCGGGTGATCTTGTAACTATTAAAATTCGATAATATGATCGACCAAAGGTGATATTACATGAGACGATTCGCAGCGACGATTTTCGGCGCAACACAGCGTTGCGACATTGTTTCGAATAGTTACAACATTGTTCCAGCACTGGAACGCTGTGTTGCGCTAAAAATCGTCGTTGCGAATCGTCCCTTGTAACAGCACTTTAAGACATCAAGTAGTGGCCCTGTGCGAGGAAAATGAGAGAGCTGCTTGCCCAAACGACAAGCTGGAATAAAAGACGGTCTTAGGGACTGTGAAATAATTATCAGGAGGGGTGGCTGAAAAACTAGAGTTATCTAGCAAAAACTTAGACAGTACCCCCTCCAAAACAAAAAAAAATTAGTCCTAACCCCCCTCTGTTATGTTGAAAATAACGTCGCACCCCTGACCCTGGGGAGGTTTGCCTTGAAACGCAAAAGCGCTCAAATTTCCTAGCATGCCCATTTTTCTCGTGGGTTGTCCGGGGATCGACCCCACGGGATTGCCCCATGATACCCGCCTAACTTTCGTTAGCCTGTTCATAGACCCTCTATTTTCTCTTTGAGAGATCATCGAGCGCGCTTATGAAAATGAAAATTTCACCACAAGCGCTTCGTGCTACACGAAAAATAAGTGTTCCAAAGAGAATACGGTGGTCAAAAATCGAGGGCTTAATTTTGGCGTTTGGAGGCTGGGAGGAGGTGGGAGGGAGGATGTGGTGATAGTGACTAAATTTAACCCTTTTTTATTTTTTCGCGCAAAACTAGCTTCTTTTTGTCACTCTCCGCGCCCGAGAAACATTATCCAAGCAAAGGCGTTTACAAGGTGTTTTTGAGAACACCGCCGATCCATCGAAACCCAGCATCAACCCAGTGATCCCACTACTGTCCCGACAGCAACCTTTGGCCAAGAAACCCTGCATCAATGAACATCAATGGCCGGCCAATTTAGCGCCAGCTGAAATACTTGCATATCTTACCGCGGCTGATTGGTTGGTTTTGGCAATGAAAACGACAAATTAGCTTGGTAGGCAGCCCACAGTGAAGCACTTTTCTCATTTGGCCGCACTGGTAAAGACACCTTGGCTACAGCAGCCGAGCGCACAGGGTCTGGAAGGGTATTTCCAGACATGGGATTTGCTCAAATTAAATACAGCGCAGGATTCGAGAAACGCTAACGGGATACAGGATACGGGATTCGCCAAAATTTGGGAACGATATATCGGATATCGTTAACAGAGGTACGGAACGCGGGTTTCACGGGGATACGGAACGACCCCCCTTTCCAGAGCCCTAGTTAGGGACCGGTCATTATTTATCGCCGGGGGGGGGGGTCGGGGGGTTTTTGGCTAAAACCGATCGCTTAGCCCAACCCCCCTTTAAATTGTAGTTTTTTGAAAGTATCCCCCCCCCCAACCATATATAAATTTCGTTTTCCCCCCCCCCCCCCCCTCTCCTCCCTCCACTCTGTCCCTCTCCCACGCACCTTCGTTCCTTTCTTTACTCCCATCTACC